GCGATATTACAAATTCTAAGCTACACAAATTTTTGAAAGAGATGTTGACAAAGAAAAAAAAGCTTCCAGAGTTTGAAATTGTGGCATTAATAGAGGAAAGTAGTGCAAGAGTCCTAAACAAATTGCCTCCCAAGTTAAAAGATCAAGGGAGTTTTACTTTGCCTATTTCAATTGGAAATTCTTGTGCTATTAATGGATTGTGTGACACGGGTGGTAGTATAAATCTAATGTCATATTCTGTTTACAAGAAATTGGAATGGGGTGAAATCAAATCAACATCAATAAAGCTACAACTAGCTGATACAATAATTTCAAAACCAAGTGGAAAAGTTGAGGATGTGCTCATAAAAGCATGAAATTTAATATTTCATGTGGACTTCAATGTGCTAGACATACCAGAAGATCGAGGCATTCCAATTATACTGGGTCGACCATTCTTAGCCACGGGTCGAACCCTAATTGACATGGAGAAAGGTGAACTAATATTGAGGGTAGAGGACAAGCAAGAGATATTTAATAATTATACCTCACTTGAGAAATCTTCCAACAACAATAATTGTTTAGAATTGACGAAGAAGAGCCACCTGATCAACGAAGCTGTCAGAATAGAAAATCAAATTTTGGTTGAGTTTTTGGTAGAGATGAAAATGGAAATATCAAAATATGGAGAGCAAAAAAAGGATGCATAAATGAGAATTGCACAAAACGCAATGATGGTTTAACTTCATTCAAGCCACCATGATCAAACATGTCACAAAGTCAAGCTTATGACGTTAAAAAGGTGCTTCTTGAGAGGCAACCCAATCTTTTTTTTCCTTTTTATTTATTTTGTTTTTGAGTTTTATGATAGTTTAGTTTATTTTTAAGTTTAAGTTTATTTGTACTTATCATCCATACCCCTTTTCCCCCTCTTATATTTTGGATATGTTAGTTTGTTTATTAGATGTCAGAACTAAGTTGTTTCAATTATTTGATCTTAATGCTTTATTTGATTTTTTAGGGACATGACGTCATGGAACATTTAAACCAATATTGACTAAGAATTCAACGGAAACAATATAAAAGTTAGCAGTTGAATTACAAGCCATATCAGAGGAGTCTTTTCTTCACATTCTTTCCCACCTCTTTATATACTGATTTAGGATTAAAGACATTGAGGATAGTGTCTATTTTAAGTTTGGGGGTGGAAAACATGAGTTTTCATTTTCTTTATGTATTTTTGTGTGCTTTTATTGTTTTTAAAAAAATGTCAAAAATTTCAAAAAAAAAAAAATGTGTGCTTTTGTGAGTTAGTTGGTCTGGCTAGCAATGACGAATATATTGAATCATGAATTGATCTATAAATAGTGGATATGTTACATGATTAGATTATTTTTTGCTTTTTTATGTGAAATTTGATATATATTGAGCACATGAATTAAGTTAAGTATTGTGTAAGAATAAGTTGATTTCATAATTGAATAGGTTGAAATTGTGAAACATAGATGCTCAACCCTAAACAACTACAGTTTACATTCTTGGACCAAATTTAGAATAGTTTTGGGGATTTCACCGTTGTAGGAAGATATTGAGATAAATAGGGATTCCATGTGTGAAATTAAAAATCTTGTGTGGATTGTCTAAGGTCAATGGGATGCAATTTGGTGAAAATCTCAACTTGGAGATCGTTTTACTTGAATTTGTGTTAAATTAAGGACATTACACTAATCAAGACATAAGAAAAAATTTATTAGAAAATTTCTTTTCGCAGCCTTTATGACTCGAACAATTAAGCCTGCAAGAGTTTTTAAAATCTGGTGTCCTATGGTCATCTGACTTGGGAGTCATCGGCCAAACGTTTGTTACATGAGTTATTTAGAAAGTTTAAGGGAGAGAATGCTTCAAATAAAGAAAAAAATTACTCTTATGAAAAGAAAAAAAATAAGAAAAAATAGGTGCATGAAACAAAAAACACACAAAATGCCTTAATTAAGTCTCAAACACTTGTTTAAGAAAAATTGACTTTTGATAATAGATTGTTAGCCTAGTTAAATCTTAGAGATTGAAGCAATCAAATTTAATGGAGAATCCTTGTTTATTGAAATGTTGAACTGCAATTGGTGAAATTTTGCCAAACTAGAGAGGTGAGGATAGTAAAAAAAATAAAAATACAACCTTAGTTCACACACTGGAAAATAGTGAAAAGAACAAGTTTAGGGGGTGTGTGAATCTTACGAGTGATGAAAGAACATATTTTACCATTGAAGGTCTGGAATTGAAACAACTTATAAATTCATAATGCTATGCTTAATTCTTCACACACATGTCGATTTTACATTGGAAAAGTGGATTTTCATTTTTGTATTGTGATTTTGAAACTGTGTATAGATTTTTTATTATGATTTCAATCCCGAGATAAAAATGCAGGTTAGCTAACTAAATATTGTTGCTTTACTTGATTGATTGGCCACCAATTAGGTAATTAGCATTGCTTATTCGTGTGTTTGTTAGGTTTTAAATTTGATTGTGGACAAACAAAGATTTAAGTGTGGAGGTGTAATAAGTGTAGTGTATACACTTATTCGAGGCCCTAAATCATGATATTTTATTTTTTTAGATAAAATTCTACCTAAATTATGTTATATTGTATTTTGTAGGTAAAACTTTATATTTGATGAAGAATTGGAGAAAAGAATGTAAAAGTGGCAAAAAATGGCAAAATCCAAATATGAATTCCTTTGAGAGAAATTATATATTAAATGGGTTGAAGTTAACGGGGCTCAATAGACTTGCATTGAAAATTGGGAAAATTAGACTAAACCAGGTGTTTAGTTTGATGTTTTTGAAAATCAGGTTTATAGGTTATTTAATCAATAATCAGGTTTTAATTTCGCGATTATTATTAATAATAATATTTTAAATTAAAATAAATATACCCACCCCCAATTCCCAAACCCTATTCCCTCTCCCCCGCGTCATTTCCCTCTCCCCCTTCCCTGCCATCTCCCCCTCTCCCTCTCCCTCTCCCTCTCCCCTTCCCTTCCCTCACCTTACCCTCCCCCGGCAGCGGCGCAGCAGCGACTGGGTCACAGCAGCGACGCTGCTGCACGTCGCAGAGCGCTGCGATTCGCAGCAGCGACGCTGCTGCTGCTGGGTCGCAGCAGCGTCTTACGCTGCTGCACGTCGCAGCGCAGAGACGCTGCTGCACGTTCTCTGCGCTACGACATGCAGCAGGGTCGCTGCTGCTGGTTCTCTGCCTGCAGAAGCTCTCAGTCGCTGCGTTGCCCTTCCCAAATTTGTATGAAAATGGCCAATATTGAGGAACGATCAGTAGGTAAGTTGGCATTTTCTACATCTACTATTGAATCAATTTGTTGCAGTAGTATAATTAATGGTGTTGACCTGCTGTGCGTGCGGTGGTTGGGGTTGTTGCCTTGTTGGCGATGGTGGATGCGGTGGTGGAGGTGAGTTTTGGTGGTTGGTGTTTTGTAAACGGTGGTGGTGGTGATTGTGCAGATTTTGGTGGTGGCGATGATTGTGCAGATTTTGGATGTTTGTTTTGCGGTGGTCGTGCAGTGATTTTGTTGGCAGTGGTCGTGTTGGCGGTGGTTGTTACGTGGATGTAATATTTTGATGGTGGTTGGCAGCGGTCGCGGGTGTCTGTGACCTAGGATTGGTAACTGTGACTCGCTGAATCGGTCGCGGGTGTCTGTGACCTAGGAATGGTGACTGTGACTCACTGAATTTCTTCAATCTGTGACCTAGGTAGGTGTCCGTGACCTAGAAATTGGGATTGTGACTCGCTGAAATAGAGTTGTGACCCGTACAAGTTTTGAATTTTTTAATCTGTGACTTATGAAAAATTACCTGTGACCTTAAAATTCTTGATTTGTGACCTACGAAGTTAACTGTGACCTGTAATTTTTTTATCAGTATTAATATGTGACCTTAATTTTTTCGATCTGTGACCTATAAAATTTTAAATCTGTGACCTCGAAAAAGTCGTCGGAGTGGTCACCGATCACCGGAGGCAGGAGTGGTCGCCGGTCACCGGAGTGGTCGCCAGTCACCGCCGGAGTAGCCGGAGCAATGGGGGTGGTGGAGGCGGGGTGGGGTGGGTTAATTTTATTATACTACAGTTAAATGTTTAATTTAATATCATAATTCTAAAATATAATTAATTAATTCAAAAAAACCTGATTTTTACAATTTTAAACTTTGGGATCTGAATTTTAAATTTGGAATAGATTATACCTGAGCTGTAATTTTTTCCCATGAAAATTTTAATTAGTGGCCCAAATTAAATCCAAATATATATATAACCCTAAACCTATAGAAAAAAGGGGGGATTTTTGGACGAATCACACGTATATTGAAGAGGGAGGAGGAAACAAGACTGCAGCAAGAGAAAAAAAGAAGGCAGAAAAGAAAGAAAGAAAAAAGGAAGAAAAGAAAGAGAAAGAGGAGAGAGAGAGAGAGAATGAAAGGAAAAAGTCAAAGTAGGAAAGAAAACTGACACGCAAGGAGAATAAAGGAAAAGGAGAAAAAAAGAAACTGTAAACATCATAAATTTTCACGTTTGATTAATTTTTGGTGATTTTTTTTTCCACTTTTGCGCTTTTTTATTTTTACAATATGAATGACTAATTTTTATATTAGAAAAAACAATTTAATCAACTTGTGATCCTTTATTTTTATATTCAAGATTTATGTGGTTTATTTATTTATATGTTGATTTTAGGGTTAGTTTCACAAATGGTCATTGACATTACAGCAAAATAAAAAAATGGTCACTGAAATTCGAAACTTGCATAAACGGTCACTCAACTTTCAGCCACTTTAAAAAATGGTTACTGAGGTAAGTTTTTGGACTATTTTGTTCTAATTGAAACCTAAATTAACAAAACACGGCTCCTTCAAAATTGGAGGACCTGAAGTGTAATTCCCTTCCCCCCCCCCCCCCCCCAACACAGTTCAATTAACTCCAAATTGGAACCAAGTCATCAAGCATACAAGGCTTTTCATTTCTTTGCAAACAACTTCTTTGGTAGCATCTCGAAAGGTGTAGTTTTGAGCAGAAAAAGCCTTCCAGCGCGTACTTGCAAAGTACCACCACATTTCAATCCACGTGCTTGAAGCTACAATTTTAACCTCTCCAAGCCAAGAACGTGTAATTTATCGTAGTTAGATAATGAGTGGTCGCATACCCACAACTATGAAGAACACTTCTTAAAATGAAATGAACTCACTAAAAAAGGTGGAACAGGAAATAGAAAAGTTGCAACATACCTCCAACTCTGCTGCTGAATCAAATCCATTAAAGTTCACTGGCTCATCAGAATCTTTTAAACTTCTAGACACCGATTCATCGTGAACTGGTTCAGAATCAGTAATCTTGCTCCCTTCTATAGCAGAAGCTCCTTCCTCAGAGCTGGAGACACCTGGAAGTTGAAAGGCGAGTTCATCCACTTTCCTCAAGAAACTCCACTTCAGGTTCATTCTTATGTTCCCCATCACTGTTATTCGTGCAAGCATCCTGACCTCTACCAGATTTTGAAGACTTTCCGCAACTGTATCCTCTTCCTCAGAGCCAACGCCAGAATAACTTTTATCAGCATCAGGTTTCCCTCCAATAACTGAATCTGAACTTCTCTCTGCTTCCTTACTGGAATCTCCGTGAGGGGCTGGAATTTGGGCCTGAAAATTTTGAATTGCTGGACTATTTGATGATATGAAACCATGGTTGGATGCGCCTTGGAGTGTAGAAGAGGTTGATATGTGTTGGGCGTGATGGGTGTGATCGGAAGAGTGGTAGTCGCCAAGTTTTATGGTTGTGAACGGTTACCCATTTTGTGGCTATGGGGGTGCACTTGGGGCCGACGTGAGGTTGGGATGGTGATCGGGATTTGTTGGGTGGGTGAGGCCGATACCGGTGGTGGTGATACTCGGTGGCCTAGGGGGCGAGATGACGGTTTTTTGGAGGTGGAAGTTGGCGGTGGTGGTGATTGTGGTTGATTTTGAGGAGGGAGATGGGAAGGGATAGGGAAAAGGAAATTGCACTTCAGGTCCTTCAATTTTGAAGGGGTCGTGTTTTGATAATTTAGGTTTCAATTAGAACAAAAAAGTTCAAAAACTCACCTCAGTGACCATTTTTGAAAGTGGTTGAAAGTTGAGTGACCGTTTACGCAAGTTTCGAACTTCAATGACCATTTTGTAATTTTGCTGTAACTTCAGTGACCATTTATGAAATTAACCCGTTGATTTTATTATGAATTTAATGTATTAAATTATATGATCAATAATTTGATGATTAAGTGAATTTCTTACTAATCAAGAGATGAGTTTTAGATTTATACCATATTCATCACATATTTGAATTTTTAATTATCCGTTGTGTGTAATTTTTTTTAAGATTTTCAATTAGTCAAAAGTAGTTAGGAACAATCATCATAATTATTTACTTGCTTTTGTCAAATAAGGATTAGAAAAAGTAGATTAAGATTAAAGTATAGTTTTCGTGGGAACGATAATTCGGACTCAAATGTCAACTATATTACTTGTTACGATATCGTACACTTGCGATATAAAAAATGCAACAAGCTTTCCAAAATTTTAAAGTAAAGAATTTTTTTAGTGGTAAAGATTTGATCTAAGCATATTTTGATAATATTGAAATGTTGAGGGACTAAAGTGAAATATGTTTTAAATTCCTTTTTTTCCGTATATCAATATTGAACTCTTTTTGTAGCTTGTAATTAATTAATTCAACTCAAGAAAAAGTTATTTTGGATAAGTTCGTCTAGAGATATTGTAGTTTAAAGAAATTATCATTTATTAGTTTTTAATTAAATTTAATTTGGATGAGGGCTATCCACGTGTATCTAAAGATGGAAATAGAATAACCTTTTTATTTGATTTGATTTGTATTTGAATTAAAAAGTTGCCATACTGCTACTCATTGGGATTAGAGTAATAACCTCCACCAGGAAACTTATTCTACACAAATCTATTGACTGCACACGGCCATGTCTATTTATTGCAATGAAATACAGTTGAATTACTAGGTTATAAATCTATAAATACTCACATAAGAGAATTTTCACCACATAATATTTATACATAGACACTATCAGAGAGAGTCAAGGCACAGAGAAAGAAACATAGGAAAAGGGTTTTAACGTGTATTATTTTAAATTCATTCACAACTTTTCAACTCTATCAAGGTAAGATACTTTTATGCAAGAGGTTTATTTCCTTATACAATTACATTTAATAATTTATGCATGAATTGCTTCAAGTTCTTTATTAAGAAATATGAAATCCTTTGAAAATTTAAAATGACCGAAGATGGGTGTGTCGTTTGGTCACCGATATACTCTATAAGAGAAGAGTGGTATGAAATGTCTATTTTATTATTATATAATTGTGCATAAGAATTGCATGTATCTTACTGGGTATTTTTAAATATTCACTCTTACAAAATTTTACAGATTAGTTCAAGTTGACTGGAACTGTGGTGGGATGATGATGCAGACTGCCATAGGAATTGAAGAAATAAAAATATTAAGTTTTTTTATCTTCGATTTATTAGTTAATTTTCTTTGTTCAAAGACACGTTTATTACTTAGTTAACTAATTATATTTAAATTTTTTTTTAGAAATTTTAGATTCCATGTTTTAATTGATATTTATTGTTGAAAATAAGGTTATATTTTTATTTGTATTGTTTTCGCTTTTAACCTAAAGAAAATTTATTTTTTGGTAATACTCTAGTGTTTTATGAAATTTTGGTGGGTTACAATTTACATAGTCTCGGTTCCAAGATGAAAGATATAAATTCAAAAAAAAAAAAAAAAAATCACGTGCACTGTTCACGTGCACAGTGTCGGACTGTTCATGTGAACAGTGCGCATCACTATTCCCATGAACAGTATTCACACTAATGCAAATTTATGGATTTTTTTTCTTTTAAATGAGAGTTATTATTGATTGTTTTAAATAATTAAATAATAATTTTTAAACTTGACTCCAAATTATTATTCTATATGTTTGTGTGTTTGATTCTAGCTTTCGGATGATGTTTTAAAATTTAACAATTAGAAAAGGGTTATTGGCGCAAAACGTCCCTACCTTTGCATGGTCTTGTGCAAAACGTCCCTACCTTTCATTTTTTAGCGCAGAACGTCCCTACCTTTCAAATTTTTTGCGCCGAACGTCCTTTTCGTCTCTTTTTGACCATTTTACCCTTATATTAAAATAAAACAAACACAAAAGAAAAGAAAAATAAAGAATAAATTGTAACTATAGTCCAAACTTTTTAAAAAGTACAAATACCCCACAAAATTTCACATTCTTCCCAAACCTCACCCTTGCCCCAACTCTGCTTGCTGGCTCTCTCCACCTCCACCTCCACCTCCAACTTCCACCTCCACCTCCACCTCCTCCTTTTTCCATACCTTTCTGAAACCTGAAAAAGGAATTCTGGGCACCCAAATTAAGAACATTTTACCCCTAATTGAACAAAACAATTAAACCAAAACCACTGTCCATTGAAAATTCAGTCAATTTATCAATCACACACACAAAAGCCACACACTTTTTCTACTTCTTCTTCCTTGTATGCGGATTCAGTCATCCATAGTGTTTTAAACATGCTTGCACAAACACATAGAAGAAGAGAAAAATCAATCTTTCTTTGTCCCATAAATTAAACACAGCCCCATCTAGAAATCTTGATTTTGTACATGTTTACAAGCCGATTGGGCATTCTGGGGCTCGGGGAACAGCTCCCAAGTCATCGACTTGGTCGGGATTTGATGATTTCGACAGGCCGATTGGGCATTCTTCTCCTTCGGGGAAGGGGCGGTGAAAACTGAGGACATGGGAGGATGTACTTGCTTCATCTTTCTCGAAACCCATCTGTAAAAATCAACAATTTTTGATGAATTGAAATCGAGAAGATGAGATTTTTATTTGGTTAGATTTACAATTTGTTGAAGATCGAAATTAATTTGAATGATTTTTTTTCTTATTTCTGTATTTGAATGAATTCGAAGAATTGGGAGAGGAAGATTATTGGTATAGGGCTGCTGTGGTTTGAAATGATTATCAACAATGGCAAGTTGAAGGAAATATTTATGAAAGCCGAAGAAAAAGGACTTCCAGAGCTTATTTTTCTTTTAATTGGTATTGTCCATGGAATTCTAACTGGGGGAAAGAATAAGAGGGTTGAGGTTTTTCTACTGCCCAGATGTCTCTCACCCCATTACGAGCTTTCAGGGAATAGGCGGTGGCGGCTACAGGCGTAGAGGAGGTGGAGGAAGATGAGAAGAGGAAGAGGGAGAGGGAGAGGGATTTTTTGTTATTTTTAATTTTTTCATAAAACTTGGACTCACTTGTATTTTTTTAAAAAATTTAGGAGTAAGATTGTAATTTATTCTTTATTTTTCCTTTCTTTTCCTTTTTGTTTTATTTATATAGGAGGGCAAAATGGTCAAAAAGAGACGAAAAGGACGTTTTGCACAAAAAAATGTGAAAGGTAGGGACGTTATGCGCTAACAAACGAAAGGTAGGGACGTTTTGCACAAGACCATGCAAAGGTAGGGACGTTTTGCGCCAATAACCCATTAGAAAACTCATATTTTAAAGAGGTTTCAAGTTTCATTTGTTGCTTGAGTTTTCTTGATTTACGTATTCACAATATTGAAAGGCTTTCTCAAATGATTGGATTTAAGTGGTCCACTTTTGATCTCCCCTCCTTGTCTGGAAGCCTTTGGTTGTGTGTTATTTAAATTAAAAAGACGAAAAACAATATTTCAAAGCTTTTCAAATTTAAGAATATTCTATTTTCTAAAAACTTTCATTTCGAGAAAATCATATTTAGAAAATTTCTAAAAAATAAATAGGGGAGTGTTTTAGAAAACTTTAGAAGTTTAAAGATAATGTAAATTTTTTAAAGTTTTAAATATACAATGTTATACAGAATCATTTGTACGTGGCGCTCACTATTCGACATTCTTCAATCAATTACGCGTAGGAAGTGAAATTATTTTTTTTCCAGAATGATTATGAGTCATCTTGCTTCATATTATGAAATGTACAAGTATGCTTACCTCGCGTAATTTATTAGCTGGACTTTTTTTATATTTTAAGTGAACATTATTCATGCGAGCATGTAATGAAATAAATTATGACTAAAGGATTAACCATAATTGGATTTAGACGTGTCAGACATAATTAGAGCTTTGCAAATGCACTGAGAGATTGTACACGTACGAATTTTGAGGACGAAATTCACTTTAAGGAATGGAGTTTAACATCCTAAAATTTTAAAATAAAGAATTATTTAGCGGTAAGGATTTTGATCAAAGCATATTTTGATAACACTAAAATGTTGAGGGACTAAAGTGAAATATGCTTTAAATTCTTTTATTTTTGTGACAAATAATTAGATTTTGATAAAGCAAGTTTTCGTATATCAATATTGGGCTCTTTTTGTAACTTGTAATTAATTATAAGTTTTCGACTCGAGAAAAAGTTAATTCGGATAAGTTAGTCTCAAGTTATTGAAGTTTTAAAAAATTGTCATTTATTAGTTTTTAAATAAATTTAATTTGGATGAGAGGTAGTCACGTGTATCTAAAGATTGATATAGACTAGCCTTTTTATTTGATTAAATTTGTATTTGAATTAAAAATCTGCCATCACTGTTACTAATTGGGATTAGAATAATAACCTCCACTAGGAAACCTATTCTATACAAATCCATTGACTGGACACGGCCACGTTTCCTTATTGCAATGAAATACAATTGAAACACTAGGTTAAAGATCTATAAATATTCCCATAAGTCAAGAGAATTTTCACCACAGAATACTTGTACATAGTCATGATCAGAAAAAGTCAAAGCAAAGAGAAAGAAACTTAGGAAAATGGTTTTCATGTGCATTATTTTACATTCATTCACAACCTTTCAAATCTATCGAGGTAAGATAATTTTGTGCAAGCGATTCATTTCCTTGTGCTATTATACATAGTTATTTATGCATGAATTGTCAGTGGACTTTCAAGTTCCTTATTAAGAGATATGGAATTCTTCTAGAATTTAAAATGACCTAAGATGGGTGTGTCGTTTGGTCACCGATATACTTAATAAGAGAAGAGTGGTATGGAGTGTCTATATATATATATATATAGGAACTGCATGTATCTTACCGAGTATTTTTAAATATACACTCTTACAAAATTTTACAGAATGCGATGGTGATGTGGACTGCCAAGAAGAATTGAAAAAATAAAAACATTAAGTTTTTTCTATCTTCAATTTATTAGTTAATTTTATTTGTTCAAAGACAAGTTTATTAATTAGTTCACTAATTATATTTAATTTTTTTTTAGACATTTCAAATTCAATGTTTAAATTGATGTGTATTGTTGACAATAAAATTATATTTTTATTTGAATTGTTTTCGCTTTTAACGTAAAAAAAATTTAACTTTTGGGAATATTTCAGTGTTTATGAAATCTTGGGGTGTTATAATTTAGTATCAGAGCCAAGGTTCCACTTTTATGTAGGTTCAAAAAAAAAAAAAAAAAAAAAA